TCATCCCCCCCTCGGCCACACTTACCCTCTCCAGCAACCCTGACCTCCCCGGCCATGCTCACTCCTCCTGGCCACGCTCACCCCGCTCAGCCCCAGTGACCCCCCTGGCCACAGCGACCCCCCCCGGCCAGGCTCACACTCCCCCCCCATGCCGTGTCCCCCCCTCAGGCGCGTGTGGACAGCCAGAGCGAGGCCGTGGCCATCCAGGCCATCCGCAACGCCCGCGGGAACTCGCAGTGCGTGGACTGTGGGGCGCCCAGTGAGTCACGGGGGGACACACGGGGCGTGGGGGGACATCAGGCACAGGGGACGTGTGAGGCCATGGGACATGCAGTTGATATCATGACATGGTGACCACGTGGGGTCATTGGTCACATGGTGCCATGGGTCACGTGGGGCCACGAGCCACATGGGCCATCGTTGCGTGGTGCCATGGGCCATGGGTGGACGTCAGTCACATGGTGCCATGGGTCATGTGAGGTCATGGGTCACGTGGGGCCATGGTCCATGTTGGGCCACAGGCCATGGGGGGCTACTGGCCACACAGGACCATGAGCTCCTTGGGGCCATGGGCCACGCGAGGCCTTTGGTTGTCTGATGCCATGGGCCATGTGGGGCTACGGGCCATAGGGGACCATTGGTCATGTGGTACCATGGGTCATGTGGGGTCACGGGCCATGTAAACCATCAGTCATGTGGTGTCATGGGCCATGGGGGGGCCACTGGCCATTGGTCACATGGGGCCATTGATCTATGTGGGCCATGGGCCACATGTGGCCATCAGTCACATGATACCGTGGGCCATGAGGGGCCACAGGGGCCCATTGATCACACAATGCCGTGGGCCATGGGGGGCCATCAGTTTCCTGGTGCCGTGGGCCATGGGGGCTACTGCACATGTGGGGCCACGGGCCACGCAGCACCATGAGTTTGAGTTCCATGGTACTGTGGGCTATGGGGGGTGTTTGGTCACATGGTACCATGGGTCATGTGAGGTTATGGGTCACGTGGGGCCGTGGTCTATGTAGGCCACGGGCCACATGGGGCCACTGTCACATGGTAACATGGGCCACGTGGGGTCATCGGTCACATGGTGCCTTGGGACAGAGCCATGTGGGGGCCATGTGTGTGTGCCACGGGCACCCCCACCCCCGTCATCCCCCACGTGTCCCCCCAGACCCCACGTGGGCCAGCCTGAACCTGGGGGCCCTGGGGGGTGCGCGGGAAGCCACCGCATGCGGGGCAGCCACGTGTCACGCGTGCGCTCGCTGGCGCTGGACGATTGGCCCCGGGAGCTGACGCTGGTGCTCAGTGCCATCGGCAATGCCACGGCCAACAGCATCTGGGAGCACAGCCCTGGGGGGCGCCGCAAGCCCACGCACCTCTCCTCACGGTGGGTCTGGTGTCCCCAACCCCACCACGGTGTCCCCAACCCCATCACAGTGTCCCCAACCCCACAGTGTCACTGTTTGTGCCAACCCCATGTCCATGGTGTCCCCTACCCTGCCACAGTGTCCCCACTGTGTCATTAATGGTGCCAACCCCACATCCATGATGTCCCCCACGCCGCCAGGGTGTCTCCATGGTGTCACCAATGGTGCCAGCCCTCACCATGGTGCCAAACTCACGTCCACGAAGCCAATCCCATGTCCACGGTTCCTCCATGTGACCACGGTGTCTCCACAGTGTCACCAGCGGTGCCAGCCCCACACCCATGGTGCCAACCCTCTGCCACATTACCAACCCAGTGTCCACGGTGTCCCCATGGTGTCACTGATGGTGCCAACCCCCTGCTATGATGCCAACCCCACGTCCACGATGTCCCCCATGCCACCACAGTGTCACTGACAGTGCCAACCCCCCACCACTGTGTCCCCCACACTGTCACGGTGTCACTGATGGTGCCAAACCCACACCCACGGTGCCAACCCCGTGTACGTGGTGCTCCCACACTGTCACGGTGTCCCCATGGTGCCACTGATGGTGCCAACCCCACATCCATGGTGCCAACCCCATGCCCACGGTGTCCCCACGCTGTCATGGTGTCCCCGTGGTGTCACTGATGGCGCCACCCCCGCCGCGGTGTCCCCAGGGAGGAGCGGGAGTCGTGGATCCGCGCCAAGTACGAGCAGAGGCTGTTCCTGGCGCCGCTGCCCGCGGCCGAGGCCACGCCGGGGGAGCGGCTGCTGTGTGCGGTGCGGGAGCAGGACCTGGGCATGGTGCTGCTGCTGCTGGCGCACGGCCCCACGGGGACGCTGCACGCCGGGGACGCCGGGGGACGCACAGCGCTGCACGTGGCCTGC